TGATATAAATCCTATGAGAACTGGATAAATAAATAAAAGGGTAATGATATCCATTAACTTGATACAGTTAAGAAATCCTAGTGTTGATGATCCTTATCGATATATCATTTAAATGAGCAAAACTTGCATAAATTAAAGTTTAATATTATTTTGAAAGGCATTATGAGATGCGAATTTCAGCTTTTCATACTGACACATTAAGAATGAACCGTATGAGATTCTCGGCCTAGTTAAAAGAAAAAATTTGCAAAACAGTGGACCCGGCAAAGGCTTTCCCTAAAGCTTCCTACTCTTTTTGAGCTTGAAAAGTACGACAATTTTTTGATTGGTTGATTTTTGAGGTCTTTAAATGTACAATCTGTAAAACGGTTAATCCTGCAGGCCATCTATGAAACTTTCTGCTATGTACGAGTTCAAACCGCTCGAGGGATTATCTTTCCCGAAATTTAAATCTTAAAAAGCTCAAAAACACAATTTTTATACTTGTTCGAGCTCGAAATTTCAGTGGTTGTTGAAAAAGTACTTTTTAACAATTTTTAATTGTAATATCTTCCGATTGAATCAATCATTTCTGATGAGATTTGCAACATTCAACGCAGTTTCTTAAGCACGAAAAGATTATTTGTTACCTACCGAATCATTCAATGTTAAATTTTGAACTTATATAAGATAAACGCTTATTTGAAATTTATCAAAATTAAATATCTCTTCAGTGAATCGACAAATTTTGATGTGATATGCAGAAATCGACTCGTTCTTAGTTTCAGCAACCTGCTTCTCTCCGTACGATGTGCTGCTAAACTTAAAGCATGTTCAAATCACAAGAAAATCGAACCCAAGTGATCAAAAAAATGGTTTCAAACGGAATCCGAATGGACACAAATCAAATGCCAAGCAATGCCCTAAATCGTGGACAAATCAACTTCTTAGGGACCGTTACTAGTCGTCAAACGCCAATGGAGCGACTTGGCAAAAAAATTGACGAGCTGCTTGATTACATCACGGACAGGTCGAATATCCGCGGTGAAGTTAGAAAACTTGCTAGTTCCATCAAAACGGCAAATGGTCTGGCTCTTAAAGGTGACAAGTACGCCCCAAAGGAAACACCATGTAGGACAGTGACATCCCCGCTATTATTTTCCTGGATGACTCGACAATCCGAGGCACTGGTTGGTACCCAATACACATCACAGGAAGTGAATAACATAAAGAAAAGGCCGCTATCTACGCCCAGTCCCACATCAGCTTCAGATCCACGTAAAATGAAGAAACTAGGTGAGGTGGAATAAAGAAGGTGGAGACGGAATAAAGAAGGTGGAAACAGAAGCAAACACTCCTTGATAATGCGGCTACACCAAATAAAGCTTAAAAACCACGAAAAATTATTGGCTTCAACCCGAAAACAATCACCGGAAAACGAAGAGGAATAAAGCTTGAATGAAGGCCACTCGTCTAACCAGTAAAAGGGCAAACCTATGCGGATCTTCTCAAGAATTCCAAAAGTGAAGTGAGCCATATAGGAACTAGTACGGAGATCAAGGCTATGACCCAGCTAGTGGGAGAAAGGCCTGGGAGCAGGGAAAAAAGACAGACAGAGGGAGAGGACTGATGGATGGAGAAGGGACAGATGAGAGAGGACTTGGAGGACGAGGCAAGGAGGGAAGTTAGAGCAGATATCTACTCTTCTATTTTTATGTTCGCCTAATACTTTGACGCCGATTTGGCCAGAATTTATTTATTTAATGATTGAAATAATTCTTTTTTTTACTTTAATTGTTACTAACGAGCTCAGTATTATTACTACTATTATTATTATTAACATTTTGTTTATACTGAGTATTATTTAATGTAGTTATGTTTAATAATTATTTGGGTATTTCTAACGACGAGTTGTAATTTATCATCATTGTTTATTTAAATTGACTATTATTTTTTATCTCTAACAATAATTTCTAAAATATTGTTTATTATTGTTAACATTTTGTTCATACTGAGTATTATTTAATTTAATTGTGTTTAATAACTATTTGAGTATTTCTAACAAAGAGTTGTGATTTATTATCATTGTTTATTTATATTGATTATTATTTTTGATCTCTAACAATAAATTCTAAAATATTGTTTATTATTATTTAATTATTTTGATTTATTGGATGTTTTTTTTAATAACCGACTTTAATGTGGGTTAATTATCTATTTATTTAACATTTAATTCATATTTATGAATATTTATTTATCAAGATCTCAGACAATAATTAGAAATTATTGTGTATTAATACTTACTTACTATTGTTTAAATTTTTGGTTTATCCGCTGATCAATATATTAGTTGGTTCATAAGTAAAACTAGGATTGATTTTGCTAAATCTTTTACTTATCATGTATAAAAATTTGATAACTATTTTCTATTGTTATTGATTAAATTAATTAAAGTTTATGTTTAGCGAACTTAATACTGCGTTGTTTATAATTTAATTAAATTAATTACTGAGCTGAAAATTAACTATGTTGTAATAAATATTTATCATCAAAAATATTTATTTATGCGAGCGAATATTTTCTAAGTCTTGTGACAGTGTAGTTTATTGTGGTGAATACTTTTCTAAAGATAACTTCAGAAGGAGCTTACCCCGGTTCGGCAAGAACATTTTTGGCCATCAGTTTTGACCTTTTTGCATGCGCTGTACCGACGTACGATACTTGATTGAATTGTTTATTTTGAGTATTAATCGTTTGGTTTCGATTGAAAAACATTTTTGTTCATTTTGTATTTTTGTTTCTGCTTTATCGACACTGTCAAATAAATTCCTTTTGTTTATATTTTATTTGATTTGTTTTCATTGATTATTTACTTGTTTCTTAGTTGTTTTGTTGAAATCTAGTTTATTTTGGGATTTAGCATAAATCCGAAATCTCCCTTTTTCAACCCTGGACTCCGGCGAACCAAAAATCGAGCAAGGGGGTCGTTAGTTGCTGAATCTATACAAATTCCCGTCTTCTGTCGGTTAGTTAGATTTTATCGCATATTCCCGGGGTAATTACCGCGCTGTTTTACCCAGTGGTCGGACTAGAGATGTACACTGGTCACGTGACGAGTAATTTTACAGACTTTTTACCATCACAAAACGGTTTTGTGACCGATAGTGTTATGACGAGACGATCACAAACTATCGCCATCTAGCGAAATTAACTTCAATTATAAATAATAATGTATTTTAGCGGTTATGTAGAGTTTATTTTGTCCTTGTCAACTGAAACGATGTGGGTTTAGAATTTAGTTTAATTAAACTGATTGATAATTAATTTCTTTAATTAATAATTAAACTGGACAATAGATACTTAATTAGATTACCCTCCAGGGTTCGTTTCACGTGTGAGTTTTGCCGGCTGGCGAGACTCGACTAGTAAATGGATCTTATTATAAAAACCTCGAACTAATGCCTTACAAATAGCTAAATTACCATCACCAATAATTGGTACTTGACTTAATTGAAGTTCGAGATGATGGTCAGCTTCCTGGATTGAACTGGAATATGGCCTTGATACACGTTGTGATGAAATCAACCTCAACCTCAGCCTAGAATCGGTTGATATGGTCGAAGAATAATGTAATTAACTTGATCTTCGTTTAATAACTGATTTATTTAAATTAAACAATGAATATTATATCACCACTTGTTGCTCAACTTAGCAAACATTCACTCCTCAACGCGTAGTAAATCAGTGTAATTTATTCTAAACTAAATTAACTGATATAGTTTTGCTCAGACTGTTCAGATTATCAGTTAGGAAAACTAGGATTATTTATTACAAAATAACCAAAACAGGGTTATTTATTACAAAATAACTAAAACGGATTATTTATCACAAAATAACCAAAACGGTGTTATTTATTACAAAATAACTAAAACTGCTCACTGCCTGCTCAATTCATTGGTTATCCATCCAAGAGGAGTTAAAGATACTCATAACTTAATTATGCAACAAGGGTGCGACAGTATAAAAAAAACTGATAATTATTAATTATCATGGCATACTTTTGCAAATTGAGCTAAAGCACAATAGGCTTCTGGCAGGATATAGGCAGCAAGAGGCCTATAAGAATATAACGAGCTAAAACGAACTAGAACAAGCTACAACAGCATGGTTACTCGAGCTTATATAGCTTCAGCGGCCATGCTGTTATTTTATCCGACTACGCTCGAGGCTACCCGAGCCTGAACGATGGCGAACATCGTTACACTACTTAAAATTTATGCACGCAGCTATATGAATCAACAAGAGAGATTAGAGTTTTATGAAATTAAATTAATATTTATTTCAATATTATAAGGAAACAAATAATTAAAATTATTTTTTTATGAAACCTAACAACTAAGATGTTATGACAATAAAAATATCCAAAGAAAAAAATATTATTATTTGTTTATTTCAAGCAAAGTTGTAAATAATAGAATGATTTAAATTTCGTTATTTATCCTTTAACAAATTATACTCATTCTAACGACATTTTATTTTTTGTCAAACCTCTTATCTTTCAGTGAAATACTTCCCAAATAATTAAGTCATTCTTGTAAAAAAAACCGTCACGGGACGTCTACGTAGTTGTATTTGATGGTAATAATTGTGACCGGGCTTGTGACCGTCATTTGCTCAACAAACGTGTTAAAATAAAATTTGTGACGTCACTTGCCATCACAAAACGGTATTTATAACGGTTTCGTGACATAAAATCAAAATGCCGGTAAATGCACATCTCTAAGTCGGACTTTTAGATCATTTGCCGACACGTGGAGAGGGGACCTGAGAAACGGTAGTCAGATCCAAGGAAGGCTGCAGGCGCGTGGATTACCCAGTCCAGAGTAGGGAACCTGAGAACCGGCAACCCCAGATCCAAGGAATGTAGCAGGCGCACGAATTGCCCAGTACGTGACAAAAGCGTAAAAATTACCCGTTACAAGGCTTTCAGACAAACAAGAAATGCGGGAGTGCTCTTGGTAATGAGCTGCAAGACTGAAGACAGCACTGCATTCACTAACGCGGTAAGATCAGCCATCTTGAACACCACTTCTATCAAGAGCCTCACACCTATAATGACGATCAAAATCCTCGACCTGGAAAAAGTTTACTGAGAGAAGGGATTTTTACGAGAGAAGAGGATTGAATCTAGTGGAAGTAGAGAGGAAAAGAAAGGAGGGTTTAATGAGAGGAGAGGATATGATAAAGATAGAAAAAGTAAGACAGGAAAGGGAGAGATGGGATAGGATCGTAGGTTCGAGAAGTAATGGGGACTATAAATTCATCATAAGTGGAGGCACCCCAGGTTACCTCAAAAAGGTTTGGAGCGAAGATAGATGGAGCAGAATAGCTAGGTTCAGGTTAGGAGACGTATTGAAAGGGAACAGATACTGGGAGAGTAGGGAAGAAAAGCTTTGTAATGTATGTAGGAGGGAGTTGGAGACTTGGGATCATGTTTGGGAGATATGTTCAGGCTTAGGTTGGGAAAAGGGGTGGCAGGAGATAAGAAATCAGGTCTTGGGGGAGGAAGGACAAGGGGAAAATTGGCTGATGGGGATCGAAATGTTATGGGGGTTTGCTGGCACCAATAATTAGTACGGTTAGGAAGTAGTGGATATACAGCGGAAACGGAGGTCCGGAAGGATGGGTGAGATGGATGGAGGTTTGAGTGGATGAGACGCTGGGCGGTTTTTTCTATGCCTTACGTGGCCTTCTTTTTTCCGCCGTCTCATTGGTTTGGTAGTGTGCTGTGTGAGGGATGTATATAAGCAATAATGTATTAGGCTAAGTTATGTAATTTAATTATAAGTAGTAGTTAAGTGTTCTTTGTAAGCGGAACGGGGGTCCGCATTTGTACCCCTGAAAAGAGCAAATAAATAAATATATATATATATATTTAAGAATATTGTCAATATTTATTATAAGCCACGATTTATTTTAAGGAATTATTATCAATAATTTATTTTCCTACGTTTTTTTAATTCCTCGCTGTGAAAATTTCCTCTTATTGTTTTTGCAATAAAATATTTACAAAAAAATTCTCAATATGATTTTAAATCTATCAATGTAATTGTATTTCTATGTATGTATCAATTCAATTTTACTTCTGAGTAAGTCATCGTTTATATAACCTATAATTAGTAGAGTAATGTTGTTAATTTTAGATTCATCAAGTTCTGAGGATCTTTTCGTTTAAAATCGAATTTTATACTTATTTAAAAAAATGATAAAGAAAATAAAAGTCATAAATTCTTCAAATTTGTTATTTTTCTATATTAATTAACCTAAATACGACGCTATAAATTTTTGTATAAAAATAAAAATTTTTTAAATTTTATTAACCGGTTATTAAAATTTAAATAACATAAGAAAGACTTCTGAAAGTTTTTATACAAATGTTTTTTCTGAATTAAGATTAAATTTAATACAATATCAATTCATTGTCCCTATGTTTGATCATATTTTATTTCAATCCGAAATCAACATATATTTTTTGGAATTCTGATGTGTATGGTCATGGCCTAATAAAATCTTCTTTTCCATAAAATTTTAGACGACTCTAAACTGCTTGAAGAAATCAAAGAGAATTTATCCGTTAATCGACCACGAGTCTATTTGAAACGGTTATCTTCTGATTGTCAGGCTCTGCATTCTAAGAAAAAATTAAAATTTACAGAAGAAAAAATTTCGCATGTAATTAAAATTTTACCAACTCCTGATTCCTCTGGCATGTGCGGAAAGAAGCTAGCCATGAAAAAACAAAATCTGATTCCAAGTACTCCGAAGACAACAGCTGTTAACATGAATGACCGGTGTAGTACAGATGAAGATTTGCCTCTTACTAAACCAAGTCATAGTTTGAAAACAAATATATTTGATCCAAATATTATTAATGATAAATGCTCAGTAGACGACTCTAAATCAAGTGTTAATAACCTTGACACTGCTGAATTGAATAACAATATGAAATGTGAATCGAACCTTCCTATTTCTAATAGTTCTCTCTTACTTACTACGGAAAACATTGAAAATATTCCGGTCATTTTCAGCAGCACTCTTCTAAACGATGTTGATCTATCAGGTAATTCTAAGTTCCATCAATTATAATTGAGTACTTCAAATCTAATAGATTACTTAAATACTATTCGAGAATCAAAAATCACATGCTTGCATAAGATTGAAAATTTTGAAGCATAAATTTAATTTTGATAAGTACACTGAATAGATAAAAAGATTAAAATTTAAATTTTGTACACCTGAGACTGATGATTATATAAATCTGTTGTTTTTTAAAAAAAAGTAGATATTAAAGTACATTGTTCTATTGTTCTATTTACTATTTCTCATTATTTTATAAAATTATCATTTGAAACTTGAGTATAAAAAAAAATAATTACATTTGATGATAATTGGTTTGAGATACAATTGAAAAATGTATAGTGCATTGCATTGCTTGAAATAGAAATTTCGAAGACACTTTTTTAATTGTTGATTTTCACGTCAATAAACGATATTTAACCCAGTCAATAAAATTTATTTTATAGGTTGGTGATTTTTGTTATGTGATAATATTAATTAAATAAAAGAACGGTTAAAATTAAATTCTATGTTTTAAATTCTCTATTATAAAATACAATGTGATACATTTGTTGATTTTTATTTACATTAATTTTTATGATTGACTTATTCTTTATCAATAGTAATTTTTTCAACTTAAAATAAAAAATTTTCGATGATAAGATCTTTGTTTAATGAAAATTAATCTTCTTTTTTTTTAGGCATAAGCAGATATTCATTTAACGAGAGGTATTTTCTATTTTTCTTTACATTTTCCGTATTATGAATCTGTTATGCTTTATAACATTAAAATGATAAAATTTTTATCAATTAGGATATTACTAGATTCGAACATTTCTGATTTATCTGGAAGAGAAATTGATCCTGTTAACTTAATGCATGATCATTCTTATTCACTCAATAACGCAATTCATTCGTTGAATGAAAACAATGTAACTACAGAAAAAAAAACGAATATTCTCTTCCAGCTAGTGATCACATCATTCCAGACAGTAATCTTGAGCCAGAAAATTCTGATTCTGAATCAGAATGTATAGGAACTAGATTAAGAAAAATACAAGAAGAAAGACAAAAACTATTAAATAAAATAAGGAGACATAATGATGGTAAGTTATTTCAGTAATTAATATTCTTCTTTTGAGCTTGATATGAATTTTAATAAGCGAAAGAAAAACTAATAATTCATTTTTATAGACTTAGATTCCGATGATGAACCTATTACAGAAGATGATGAACCTAGTAAAGAAGACGTCGCCTGGGCGCAAAATATCAAGTCCGAGCGAGATGATTCCACGATGACAAAAAATTCTAGAGAATCCATTGTAATTAAAAAAAGTGGACGAAATTTCTTGAAGCAACAAAAAAATCGTACCAAAAATGGTTAGCTGCTTAGCAAATTAATTCTATTATTCTAGATTTTTATAAAGTACCATTTTCATGTTCTATTTAGTAAATTAAGGACAGTTTATCGAAACTAATTTAACTACTAATGTTTACAGACTCTAGTTTGGATAATGAATCGGTATCAAGTGATTTAGGATGTGATATGCTACAAAATAATCATAAGTTAGAAATATCTGACGTGAGCTCGGGAAATCTACTCGACGTTGACACTACATCAGAAGACAATAGGCAAAAATTATCAAATGAAGAGAAGCAGCCAGATAATAGTAAGTTAATTATTAAATTATTTTATTTTAGACTTTAAAAAATTGTTATCTAAGTTAATTAGCTAATATTCACTTCAAAAATGAATGAAAGTAATACTAAAGAATTTTAAAAAATAATACAGTACTTTTTAGTTACAGATTTAGATCTAACCAAGTATCAGAGTTCACTTTCGCCTATAACACTGCGAAACATGACGCGACAGAATTTTCTCCGGCGTATTTAAATTACGGCCGCGAAATCCTGCCTCCTTTGTCAATAAGGGCACGAGCCGACCGAGGGAAAGACGAGGTTTATGATCCGCATCAGGCAGCCAAGACCTTGGAAGACACCATTGAGTTGGTCAAGGTTAACCTGGCCCAAGCCTATGGGAAACAAGCCAAGTATTATAATCGCAAGCGTGGTTCCTGGCAACCAGCTCTTGGCGATCTGGTAAGCAAAAGGGAACACCATTTGTCGTCGGCGATTGACCACTTTTCGGCTAAACTTGCGGAGAAGTACGCGACGGCTTTTACAGTAACTAAAATCGTCGGTCCTTCCGTATATGAGGTTAGTAAAGAGGGTAAAACTTTCACCGCGCATATTAAAGACTTGAAACGTTTCCATGAGGGAAATCCCCCGGAATCAGAACGCGAACAAAATAACCGCGAAAACCCTGAACCGGATTTAGATGAAACCCTAGAACCGCGTCGAATAACTCGAGCTATGGCCAAAAAGGCAAAATTAGCCTCTGCTGCCGGAGAACCGGGTTGAAAGCGGAACGCCAAGTAAACTGTTAGAGTCAAGTTACATTTTCTTTGTTTGGACATATCTAGACTAGTTTAGTTTGAAACTTTGTTTCAAATCTTATCACCTAGTAGCATATCACGTAGATTCTTAAATCGAAATGTCTTACAGGGTTATGAGTCAAATCATGTCAAACGAAATACAAAGTTCTCGTAGAACAATTAAAGTTTTGTTTTATAGTAATAATGAAAGGAAGGTCAAAACTGATCTCGTTAACGGTCTAGTCACTAGTTTTGATTTATTTAATATTTAAAGTTTGCAAAATGGAAAACCAATTCACCGAAGAGGAGGAGATTTGGCTATTGGAGGAGATGCTGAGAAGACCCCTTCACGTCGTCCTCAACCACCAGCCTGAGCCAACCATGTCTTCGAGCCCTAGCACCGGAAAAGACTCAATAGCTGTTCACGAGCCCTATGATCCGGCCAACCCCGGCTACGAAAGACCAGCCAATCGTAAGCCAGCCAAATCGACCACAGCAGTCAAGCCAGGCGTAAAACAGCCTTACCACAGCCCGTTTAAACGGAGGAAGCCGAAGACGCTGATCAGGCCAATCACGGCCAGCTGGTTGGAACTGACCAGAAAGCCGAGATCCAAAGCACGTAAGTTGGAGGATCTCTTTGGTGCCAGCCCTACCAAGGACGCTGACGTTGTCGACCCGGGCCCACGCCAGAAACGCAGTCCCCAGTCGATCGCCACGCCAATGAAGCCTGACAATAAGGAGTGTGCTGAACCAGTCGTCGAAGCTGCTGAACAAATCGCTCAAGTCGGTGAACCAGTCGTTGAAGTGATTGAACCAGTTGTTCAACCAGTCGCTGAACTGGCTGAATCTGTTGCTGGACCAATCGTCGAATCTGATGAACCTGCTGTGCCGATGGAAGTCGACGAACTTGTCGTACCTACCATTGAGGATCCTGATGTCGTCGAATCTGCTGCTAAACCTGCCGTTGATCCTGTTGAGATTGTTGAACCTGTTGCTGAACCTGCCGTTGAACTAGTGAAGCCTGTTGATGTCATGGAACCTGAAAAGAAAAGGGAGAACCGTCCGGGCCCACGTCAACGACGTAGTCCCCAACGGGAAGGCCTGAAAATTCGGGAAGCCACTGCTTTCTCGAATAAAATACGGATAATAGCACCACCGAAGCCGCAAGAGTCAAACCAACGACCTCTAACTCGTGCTCCACCTACCATGGCGAGGTCCGAACCAGAAGTTCGCTGGGCGTTACCAGAGTATCCCGCACTAGAGGACTATCCAGAGTCCTTTGCAGACAAGCCTGGAGACCTGTTCCCCAGCCCACAGAAGATTAAGACTCCGATGCAGAAAATGAAGGAGTCCTACGCATCCTTGGAGAATCTGCAGAGCCGGCCTTTTCTGCCAGGAAGGAGAACCAAGCGCACCATTAACGCCTACGACAAGCGTGGGCGCATCTGGAAAGTCATCCAGACGAGGAACCAGCCTAAACCGACTTTAATATTGACCGAGGAGCGGGTAGAAGATTGGTTGCATAGATTCACATAAAGAAAAGTGGCAAACCAGTTCACCACTTTTCTTTCGAAGGAAAGAGGGGTATGACCCAGATTTTGGGTCAGGGACAGCAGGGAGAATAGGGCTTGGAAGATGGGACAAGGAGGAGAAGGACAACAGCTAACGACGCGACGGGCCGAATTTTCGTCCATTTAAATTGTTTAAATTTTGAATATAGTTTTGTTTATTGCGTTCAGTATTATTACTAATCATTATTATTATTATTATTATTATTGCGGTAAAACCGAGTATTATTTGCTTTAAAATTAGTATTAAGTAACTATGTATATATTTTGTTCAATTTTCTTTCTTTTTAAAATTAAATGTTCATTAAATTGATACAGCGTTTATATTATTATTATTATTATTATTAATTATTAATATTATTATTAATTTCTGTTAAAATAATTTTAAAGAAAGAAATTTAGTTAGTTCGCCACCGCGCGACAGATGGCGTCGCGTGTCCGCTAGCAGTAAAAACCGCCGAGCTAATATAAGCGAAATCGTGGCACGATAATTTTTGTTCTTTCAAAGAACAAAAATCGACTTTACCAAAAATTAATAACTGATTAAATATTTCAAATAAAATTCGAAATATCCATTTAATAGTTTTTTTTCTAAGTCCCAAAAATTATTTATATGGAAAATAATTTTTGGGAAATTTATTATTTTGTGAAAATTTAATTACGAAAATTATTCTAAGTCCCGAATAGAATTTAGTATGGAAAAGCGACGAATGGATATATAATGAATCATGCGCATTAGAAACCTCAAGAGGATCTCCACAACACAACTGCTATCTGGTGACCAAATATAAACTAAAATCTTTACACGGATATGGGGACGCTATTACAGCTGAAAACTCTATCCCGAGCGTGCTCCTTCTATCTAGACTTCGTGATTAGATTAATTGCAAAAAAAATCCATTCGGTATCCGAAATGGAAGTGGGTTTCTTCTAAGAAAAATTTGAATAAATAAATAATAGTTGAAAAAAATAAAAACACGCTTTTTATAGAAAACCAAACTAAAAAATAGAAAATAAATTTAAAATAAGAATAGTGTTAAAAATTTCAATAAATATAAATTTATAATAGTGTAAATAAAAAAAATGTATTTTATTTAAAAAACGCATGGGGTGCATGGTGTCAATAGTTATAAATATTTTATTGACAGATATGAGTAGAGTGATTATCATTTTAATAATATCTTAAAAAGCACCAAAAATAGAAAATAAATTTAAATTAAGAATATTGTTAAAAATTTCAATAAATATAAATTAATAAAAGTGTAAATAAAAAATATGTATTTTATTTTAAAAAAAGCGTGGGTGCATGGTGTCAATAGTTATAAATATTTTATTGACAGATATGAGTAGAGTGATTATCATTTTGATAATATCTTAAAAAGCACCCCACGCTTTTTTTTAAATAAAATACATTTTTTTTTATTTACACTATTATAAATTTATATTTATTGAAATTTTTAACACTATTCTTATTTTAAATTTATTTTCTATTTTTTAGTTTGGTTTTCTATAAAAAGCGTGTTTTTAGTTTTTTTAAACTATTATTTATTTTTTACTTTTTAGTTTGATTTATTTATAAAAGCGTGATTTTTTAGTTTTTTTTTTTAAACTAAAAAATCACGCTTGAGAAACGGCTACCAGTACCAAGGAAGGCCGCAGGCACGCAAATTACCTACGGAGAGTTACTGACATACTGACATACTGACTGATATACTGACATACTGACATACAAGTGAAGCTAATAAAAAGCGTGTAAAAAAAGGAACAAAGAATAATACCAAAATGAATACAATAAAAAAATTCAATCAGATTGATAGTAACACTGATCAAAGCTTACTAAACGAGTTTTCAAATTAAGTTTTCAAAAGTTTGATAACTTGTCGCGTTTAATAGTTACTTTAAGAAAAAACGGAGAAAGTACGAATTTTTAAAATTTTGAAAATTAAAAAATGCTGTCATTTTTAAACTAATTGACCGATTTGGTTTATGTTTGAACTTGACATTTGTAATAGACTATAGATTATGTATGTTAATTGTTTAGTAAGATTGGTAAGAAATTATAGGAGCTACAGTGGATAGATGCCGCGTTATATCGTTAATATGTACAATGTACATGAATCTACTTACATATCATTGAGAGTGAAATAATAAGTTTTATTTTAATTCAATTTACAAAACAAGTATAAAATTTTAGCTTATAGCAACAAGTGTTATTAATCAAGGTCAACAATTTAAATTAATTATTGGATTTCATATGTATTATTTTTTTTTCGCTATACTTGAATTGTATTGCATTACTACCCTGAGTTCAAAATTTTGATTAGTCAGTTTATTATATTTCGGGAGATCGAACATAGTTGCGTAGCTAAAAAGCCCCTCGACAGGTGCTGAAGATGGTAGAATAGTATTTGCTTTGAGAAAAATTTCTCGAACGGTCGGATAAAAGTTTAAAATCTGAAAATCTGTTCGTGTTTCTGCAGTAAATTTTACAAAATTTACTTCTTGAACAGTTGTCCTAAATGGTTTTGGTGTTGGAGAACTAGGTGTAGTGAATGGACTAGATGCAGCAGAAGAATTAGGCGATGTACTGAATGCGGGTGACGGATTTGTAATTACAGAAGTACTAGCTGCAGTTATCGAAAGATCGTCTTCAAAATTAAAAAAATCATCTGTTGATGATGTTTCAAGTTGTTGAGGTTGATTGTCAGGAGTTTCAGGAAAGCTGATAATAGCATCTTGTATTGCTTTCATTACGTTGTCTTGTGCTTCCTTACTTAAATGACTTAACCACCGAAGCTTAAACATTGGATGTGAGGCTGCAGCCACTGCGGCTGTTTTTCCTTCATTTACCACATCAAAAATATTTTTGAAACGTTTTTCTACGGCTCCAACTAATCCAGAAATCAATTTCTGACAATAGTGGAACCTCAAATCCTTACAGGCCAACAGTTTTTTTCGAGTTATGATAAGCGTAGGTAGTAGATGTCCATAGGAAGCAGTCTGATCACCTTGCAGAACGTCAATAGCTTGAGCAATCGGCTGAAGGCAACGGCAATATTCTTCCATGAATCTTTTAAAACATAATAAGACACATTGATAGAAGAATTTATTAACTATTACTAATTTAATTTATTTGAAGACAATTATTTGATTTATTAAATATTTTTAAACATTCAATGAATATTTATTTGGGAGGAAAGTGCATTTATAAATAGTTAATGAGTATTTATTAGGGGTGTGCGAATATTCAATCTTAATTATTTTTTTAAATTCAAATGGAAAGACCACCGACATATTTGTTTAGATCGTATACGGAAAAAAGAAAACTCGAAAAATTACAATATAAAATGTAAAATCGGTCCCCTCGTAATAAAAACTAGAAAAATTACAGTTTGAAATAACATTTTTCTAAATTCAATTTTTTAATTTAATATTCAGAGCTTTCAATGTAAATATTACATTTTACAATGTAATTGTTACATAATCTGTGATAATTACATTTTAAACTCTAAATTTTCCAGTTTTCATCACGAAGCGCCACGTTGCATTATATACTGTAATTTTCCGAGTTTTCTTTTTTTCGTGTATGTTATTTAAATGTGAGATGTTTTCTCATGGCGAGAGTAAAGAAGGTGAGCTGAATAACGTGGGTACTGAAGGGTTAAAACATCCCAAAAAATTCTAATATCAACAAATAACGGTACTATTAAAAATGACCCAGCGAAACGGGTGTTCACGGCTAGTTACATTATAATAACGTTTATTGCAAAATACCAAATTCTATCACAGCTCATAATTATCTTTTATATTTTCAAGTATTAAAAACGTTAATTTATTTAGTAAATTTGATTATTATCATGTATTTCAGCTATAGAGTTATAAAAAGTGTCAAAAGAAAATTGCTATTTTTGCTTTTTATTTTAAATAAATATTTGTTAACAGTTAACAAATATTCATTAACTTTTAAAAAATATTCATTAATAGTTAATAAATTGCTTATTAACTGTTAATAAATATTTATCAAATCCTATGATATTAAAAAATCATTTATTGATAGTGAATAAAGCTTATTGAATATAAACAAATCCTTCTATCAGTGCATAAATAGAGAGATCGCAGGTATACCATAATAATATTTGTAAGTTTGCATGTTTTTTATGTATACGGAAGAACGGTTTTTTTGAACCAAGAAAATCTGTGGGACGACTTAAAGTGTTTTGGAGCAAGACAAGAATTTTCTTGAGACAGTAAACTTTTCTTCGCTCAAGATATTTTTACTCTACCCAAGATAATTTATCACTTCAAAATATTTTCTTGAGTCAAGAAAATCCGGTTCTTTAACCAAGAAAGTTTTCTTTCTGTGTATGTATGCATGTGTATATGTGCAGGTGTATATATGTGTATATATGTGTGATAGAAAATTTTTTTAACCTGAAATCTGACTCTTCTAGCGGTGTGGCCATACCCAATGTTTGAACGTTGCTTAAAATTTTTTCTTTCAACCCGAATAACTGGATAAGTGCATCGTATAAAGAGTTCCATCGCGTAGGGACAGGACGTTTGGGACTTTTTCCAAGAATTTCCTTAACATTCTCCCACTTTTTAGGCGCAGATAATGGTTTCCTTAATGATGTGCATCGCTCGATCATTTTATTATAACTCATTTCTAAGCTTTTGGAAGACTTGATGGATACCATTGCATCAGTTATTGCTACAAGGTTGAGTGTATGACTTGCACAACGAATATGCACAGGGAGTGTTCTTTCCAACTCGTCCACCTCGTCCTTTTCTAACGGTTGTTTCTCAGCCCATTCATTTTCTTCGGAGACGATTTCTTCTTCGGACTCAAGGTCTTCATCTGATTTAGAATTTTCTTCTGAATCAGAAGAAGAATCTTCGTCATTTATCTCAGCTTCATCACTATTATCACTATCTACAAAGAAGAATACATTTTGTTAAAAGATATTAAAAATGGGGGTGATGGAAGAAAAATTATCATTATTATTGTGTATTTTTTCGGAAACATAATTAAAAGTAATCAGCATTAGGATCCTTCAGATTCTATGTTTTAACTGAAAATTTCATAAGCAATTTACGTCACACAATCTAAGAAGAAACTAATATGGTTTTGATAGCGAAAACTAGTGTGTCGAATTGAGTTGTATACTGAATTAAAAAATCTACTCTTTTGACAGAAAAAAAATTGGAAATCATTAACACAATTATAGAAAAAAATAATATCTCTGAGGCCTCGTTTTTATTTTTTTTTTTTTTTACTGATAAAATTATTTTCGATAAATTTGAAAAATCTTACGATAAAATAAATTTTTTAGTAAAATAAATCTTTGAAACTAGAAATCACAGGCGACATGAAAGTATTATTTTTCTTAATGTAGTTTTGATTCGTAGAAAGTTAGGACAAAACAAAAAATTTCATAAATCCAACACCAAATCTACATAATTACCTCTGGGAAAGAATTCATCAACATTAATTCCACAGCATTTAAAAGCCTTGACAAAATTCGACCCATTATCAGTAATAGTCGCAACAACTTTGTCTTGATTAATTTCAAATGATTGATGAATTTCTTCAATCATTTTGGCAACTCTGTCATATGAATGAATTCCCGGAAATCGTCGACACGCTATTGCATATGACTTTGTAACGGGTGGTTTATTTCCCGTACTTATTGGCCCTGAATAAAATTAATAATTAACAATATAACAACAAAATGACTCTAATGCTAAATAGGGCGCCACCAGGATTATTTTCTCGGTTCCTGGAACCGGATGCCAGAGCTGAGCTTCTTATTCTACAGGGGGAGAGAGAGAGAAAGGTGGTCTGAAATAATTAAATCTTTATTCAACAATTGGCCAAAATTTATTAACAATAAAATCACAACTCGTACACTTGTACGTACTCCCAACTCACTTACACTACTCACTTACAACTACGACTTATGACTACGATTTTCTTACTTCACGCTTCCTTACTCCCCACCGGGAAGTCGCTACTACAACTTATAACTACTGGAGGATTTCGGGCTGGAACCGGCTACTCCGACTTAGAACTACTTATCAATAAGACACCTCGTACAAAGACTGCAGTGCACGAGGGCTTATCAATAACGCCTTGCTACAGAAGCAACAGCCTAGTGACTGCAACATAAGCCAAGAAGCCTCTGCAGCTCTCTCACACACATACCCCTTACGTCGCGCTGTCCACCGGACCCTCACGCTCTACGCCAGAGAAACACCTCGCAACGGACTGCACGACTGCGAAGGAACTCTGGTAGCACTCACACACACATATCCCACACGTCTCACACACACACCGACTCTACTTTACTAATTTATTTCCGGATTTACAACAATTAACTCCGAAAAATATCAACTTTAGATTCTCATTAAAACTCATCAGTCATTAGCTCACAAAATAAAAACTCTATACTTTATCTTCACAAATTAAACAAATTTACTTCTTAGAATTTTCGGCTTAAACCGACGCTTCTTTTTCGTCCATCTTTAACACGAGCTTATTTCTGCGCATTAACAAATTCTTAAAATATTCTTTTGTAATTTTAACTAAATTTTTCTCGGATTTAATCCACACGAATAAATAGTTTTTATAAATGATTTTACCGGAATAACAATATTAAATTATTGACAAATTTTTACAAGACATTTTCGATATAAGACTCCCCAAGCAGAAATTGGCTATTAAATTAGATAACAAATTATAATTTTATCCAATGTAAAAATTACGTGCCTCAATTTTACTGCGGGTGTATCAGTCTTATCTGCGTCGAAATTTAATAAATCAATTCTCAACAATTAATAACACGTGGAATAATAAATTTCTAGTAATTAGCGAAAGACGATTAGATTATCAATAATTCACCTCAGTGTGAAAAAAGTAATTTCAAAAAATTATCGACGGTCTTAAATTTCGAAATGCGACGCAGTTTTCTCAATAAGTCAATTCCGGTAATCAAAATTGTTCCGAACAATTAATTAAATAATTTTCCATAAATAATAAATATAATAAAATAATTAATTCAGTTGTAATTCAATCGTTAAAATTAGTCCATGTATTTATTTTATAAATTTTACTGCGTCAC